AGTTCATTATTAGGGCAAATGTATGAATGGTTGTTGTTTTCCAGTCTAACATGTACACTCATGTTGGCAGTATTTTTGCTTTTTCTTGCGTGTTGGGCGGGGAAGGGGATAAGGCGTCGGGTGGGGTGAGTACTGCATAGGCTATGTGAAACCTGAATCTCAAGTATTTATTATTACAGGAAATTTTGCATGAACTTGTTGGCAAAACGTACACTTAAGTTCGCCGTTTTCGTATGAGAAATTTAAGTATTTATGAAAATGTACAGGAAATTTACGAGAAAAAAATGCAAAAAATTTAAGTATACATACAAATGGATGTGAAACATTCCCGCAGAATTTCGACTTCCTGCTTAGTCTGGTTGCAAAGCAAATGGGCCCAGAATTTGAAAATTTACTTCCGCGTAACGCGAAATCCGGGCGTCTCTCGAAACTCAGTTTGAAATTCGGATCAAAAGGCGCAGAATTTGGCAAGAGATGGCAAAATCCAGCCATGCCTACGTAAAATTTTATTGTAGAGGTCAAAAGTTAAGATTTAGCAAAAAAGGCACTCAGAAGTGCTCAAAAACTGCCTTCCAAACGAAATATTAAGGCAAGAGAGCATTTCGGATGGGCAGAAGCTGTTTTTAGATAAGAGTTTTTTTTCGGACCTGAGACGCTGGCCTATAAGGTGGCAGACCAGCGATCAGCTTTTTGACCTTTCTAGGCGTTGACCTCTGACCGCCACTCTGAATTCACTCTGATGGGCTCCTTTAACTGGAGGCTTAATCCAAATGCCTTGCAAGAAATCTGACCATTCCATTATTGTTTACAGTTTCATTCGCGCATTGAGGCCGGCAGCTCATTTCTGGCGACAGTCGTCGGTGGCTGCTGCAGTTCCTACGCGACACTACTGCGAGGGAGAGGGGGGGGGGGCGAGTCCTTGAAAAGGAATGGACTGGCCAAACAGCACTGTCACCTCGGTGACCTGTGACCCTACCTCTCTCGACCTTCTGCCATAATATTTGCGTATTTGCAGGAGGAGAGCGACGAGCTGTGCGCCAGCCAGCGGATTAGTGCTTCTTCGTCGCCGCTGCCTGCTCCACAAACTTCCATCAGTTGTTGTGAAGCACTACAGCTTCTTGATCTCGAACGTACCGGATCATCATCACGTCCCGGCTGTCCCACTAACTCGGACCCCGTTCGATCGCATCTGCTAGCTTTAGCAACACCGTTAACCTCCC